CCCCCCCCCCCCCCCCCCCCCTTCCTTTTATCCATTTTCATGATCTATCAAACCCTAAAGCCACACCCTTTCAAAACCCTAAATTATTCAGTACAAAATGAGGAAGAACACAAACCCCATTGCCATTACCACCTCCACCAAGCGCTCAAAGATGAGGTCTTGCACCAATTCCCTTTGTTTCTTCTGTCTAATGAAGGAGACCCATGTTCCAACAAGAAGAGCTGGAATGAAGCATTTTTTGAGTGAGTTACCTTATAGTGACGACCATGACCATGTCCTTGTCCTAAGTGCACTTTGGCACATAGCCATGGCTCATCCAAATGACAAAGAGTACCCCTCTCTTGGTGTGTTTGAATGCATGGGAAGTTTGATCCAAAGGGGCCTCAAGGACAAGGGTTGGGTTCTTAGGGACCAAAACATTTACATCCCCTATTATGCAGCTCATGTTATTGGATCTTACACCATGCACAAGGCTGAGTTTGCAGAGAAAGCAGTGGAATCAGGAGTGATTCCACCATTGATGGAGCTTTTGAGAGGTAAAATGAGCTGGGTTGAACAAAGGGTCAGTGTTAGAGCACTTGGTCACCTTGCTAGCTACAACTCAACTTTTGAAGCTCTTGTTGAATACCAAGAGGAAATTGTCAAATCAGCCATGGAGATTGCATCCTCCTGCCTTGATTTAGTGTACGAAAAATTTGTAGGATCAAGTGAAGAGAATAGAGAGAAATACCACAGAGATTTGCTCACAAGAGGTGTTGGTGGGAGAGAAATTGAGGATAGAAAGGCAGAGGAATGGGCTAGCCAACTTCAATGTTGGTGTCTTCATTTGGTCAAATGTTTTGCTTCCAAGGGGAGGTGCTTGAATCTCATTTGCAACAACAACCCAATTTTCTTGAGGGATTTATGTGGAATGTGGGGTGGATTGTCAAATTACACCTCAACTGGTGGAGTTGGGCTCATAAGAATCTTGAGTTACAATAAACTTTCGAGGAAGTTCATTGCTGAATCCACACAAATAATTGAGACCCTCTGCAATTTGTGTAGATCTTCAGATGACTGGCAATACCTTGGCATTGAATGTCTTTTACTCCTTCTCAAAGACCCACAAACCAGGTACAAAGTCATTGAAATTGCTGCGTTTTATCTCGTAGATTTGGTGGAAATTAGAAGGCTTGGAAATAGAACAAACATTAATCTAGGTGAAGCCATCACACAAGCCCTCCTATCAGATTACAACCAAATGGAAACACAATTCCTCAAGAACAATCAAAATCTCCAAAGGGTTCTAAGAGAAATATGGGTTCTGAAAGTGGAGAGGGAAAGGAAAGAGAAATTGTTATGTGAGGAGAGGCTTGAAGAGAAGAGGGCATTGGTGAATCTCATAAAACAAGCAGCCAATGAACTGTTTCGATTGGGAGAAATAGAGGCCGCTATGAGAAAATACAAAGAAGCCTTAGATTTGTGTCCGTTGAAGTTTAGAAAGGAAAGAATGGTGCTTCACAGTAACAAATCACAATGCCATTTGCTGTTAAGGGATCCGGATGCAGCCATTAGTGACTCAACTCGAGCTTTGTGTTACTCAAATCCAACAAATTCTCACGGTAAAAGCCTGTGGAGAAGATCGCAGGCTTATGACATGAAAGGGTTAGCAAAAGAGAGCCTGATGGACTGCATAATGTTTGTGGATGGTGGAATGAAGATGGAGGGCGGCAATGGAATGGGTGAGAGTAAGAGAATCAAGATCCCATATCATGCAGCTAGAATGATTAGCAAGCAGATGGAGGCAGCATGGCTTTTTGCACCAGCTAGATTAAAGAAATTGGCTTCAAGTCAAGTGAAAAAAGCTGAAGATTCTTCCAACAACAGTCGTGAGGGCCATGGAATTACCATCAGAACCATGACTAAATAAACAAATCGTATCTGGTACGCAACTAGTTTTATATTTAGTGGCCAACTTTCGTTAAACAAATTTTGGAGTAATCAACATGGGTTTGTAAACTTAATCTTTCAAATATTGAATTACATCACTCATGTTTAACATTTTGTAATGATGATCTTATGGGAATTAACCTAACAAAAAGCCTCAACTCTGAGAACCATCAACATTTTCTTCTCCAAAATGTCATTACATTTTGAGGAAATCAAATAATATTTCTACTTTTTGAACATAATAATACTGATATCTACAGGTTTGTAAAATGAAAGTTGTTCCTTTAGTACAAAAGACATTAAGAAGTTCATAAAAATGAGTTCATATAATTCAAAATTTATCGAATATATCAATCGTTTTTAAGAATTTTGAATTGATTATGGATCTATTAAATAGTTTAGAGATATATTAAAAACTTCTAAAAATTCGAAATCATTTGTAGTGCTATATTCTAAATAAAATATCATTTGTCCCAGTATAACTCTCAAAATTGGTACTTTTTATCATTTAAGGTTACAAAAATAAAATAAGTGGTCATCCAGAAGGTACCCATTTTTGTCACTGGGGAAAGTACTACGCGGACTAAACTCTTCATCAGCTAAATAAATTTTGGTAAACAACAGTGACTCGAGTATCTCAAGTTTCAACCATGGCTACATGCATGTTACAAAATGTTTAATGTACAAGAACCTGTGTGGTAAGACAAAGATATCTCCATTATGGCTCCGATCATCAATCATTGCTATTCACGTCATACACCGAGTACACTACCAAGCACTTGGTGAAGATAAATAGCTTCTCACAGCACACGAAGTAGAACCAAAACTGCAAAAGTAAAGAACAGACATAAGCCTTCAAATTCCAGATAAGAAAATTGCGCCAAAAGAAAAGACATCCCCCCTCCTCTCATCCATATCTAACAGAACACCTAAAGAAATATTTGAATGTGATGTTGAAAAAACAGAGTCAAACAACAATGGTAACATGTGACGACATCTAAGATAGGTTATAAATACAAGACAAGTCTGTCATCCCACATCCACATCAAAAAGTCTTTGCTCCGGAAACCTAATAAATTATATACAAGAATTCAATGTCACAATCGAAGCACCATTTCAACAAAACCATGCTTGGTCTTTCGCTTATGAATCAGGGAGTTGGGGGTAAGGAAATGAAGCATCCAACAACACAAATTCCACATACAATGTGAGATCCCACATTGGTTGAAGAGGGGGATAAATAAGAGGGTTAATAAAAGTGCAGAGAATCTTGCGCTCAAGTTTCCCCTGTCATGAGACAAAATATGATATTACTTATTCATTTATTCAACTTATAAAAGTAAGTTGTCTTTTATGAAATGCACCTCTGTGATCCAAAAATGAAAGAAGAAGAAAAAAAAAGTAAGAGAAACTCTCGTACTACGGGAATTTATTCCAGTAGAGGGAAAAAAAAGTTAAAACAAATTGAACGTACAAAAAATCTCATATATCTTATGAGTTTCAAAAGACTAACATTATGAGAATGATGAACCATGGGAAGCACGTTCATACGTACATTCTCAATATGTGAATATCACCTGCAAACATACTCCAGCACTTTGATGCAAAGGAACTCAAAGATACAACTTAATTAAACAGCATTTTCTCAGAAAATAAAGAATGAATCAAACCGTATTCCAACATTCTAATATACATAACTATTGCTTCTTGAGACACAAATATAAGATTAAAAAATATGCCATGAAGAATAAAGCCGGAGATATAAAAGAAAAGCTTACCAATTGAGATAATAAGAATTGTTGAGAATGTTACTTGAACTGGCCTACTATACTGCATTTGATATAGAGACCTCTGAAACTGTCTTTTAATAGATCCGTACCAGCCATTGAGTTGCTTATCATAAAAACCATCACAACTATCTAAGCAACTCTTACTTCTTTCATATCCAACAATTATACCCTACATGGAAAGAAACAGAAACTACAATCTAGTAACTAGATCAGAAAATCTAGCTCATAGTCATAATTACGGAAACAAAACCGATTGAAATAATAACAACAATTGATAGAATGCATACCCTAGTTGATTGAGAGGCTTGCAACAACATCGGATTAGTTCCTTGATGCCTATCTACTACTTTCAACTTCCTAAAGGCATTCTTTTGCAACTTGAATTTTGATGCAGAGTCAACAGTATTTAAAAACCCCGAAACACTTGGTATCTTTCGTACAAGTTTCTGGGTTTGTTTATTAAGAGAACATGGTTGGAAATCAACCCCCGAAATTGCAATCTTCCAGGAACCAATGTCAGGACTAGCGCTAGCTGTCCTCCGATGTCCATGGGACTTCTCCTCTCTACAGTCTTGAGAACCCTGTTCAATTGATTGAAGAGATTTAATTGAACAAGCTGGGGCTGATCCTTCGTCCATCGCCTGTGGGTTTTCATTGTCACTAACAACATTGTTAACAACAGTTTTGCCTTCACCTGCGGAAGGTCCAGAAAGAAACAACGCAAGTTCATTGCTTTCACCTTCATCCAGCCGCATCCAAGGCATTGAGGATTTTCCCTTTGATTGAGAAAACTCTTGTAATGAACTTTGAGTTTTTAATATCTGATCCTCAATTGCTACAATAAATTGCCGGTGCCTATTTCTCGGATCTTCATTTGTGCTGTTAATATAACTCGCTTTCACAGCTCGTTCAAACTCCTCTAACTGCGTTGACATCACAAGTTATAGCTATTTTAGAAAAAGCAAGAGGGCGATCATCAGAATAAGAAAGAAACTAATACAGATTATTGAGGGAAGAAATGTCTCAACTCAAGCTGAGGAAATTAGTTAGCCAAACGTATGGAACGCAGAGGGGATTCTTGTGGGGATGGGGAAGGAAATTAGGGAAGAGATCACCTGCCATTTGGTGGTGCCAAGAGCAGTGCGTAAATCCCTATCGAGCTCATCATAGTTCCAAATGCTGGAGTCATCTTTCATGGCATGTACCCAAGTTCTATATGTCGATTCTATTCTGAGATACATAAACGAAAAAAACACCGACCCATGACAATCCGATCAATTGACAACAGAGGACAGCAAACAGAGAATGGAAAGCAGGGGAGGAATATCCCCTGTTCTACATTAATAATCCGGGCTAAATCTAAATCCAGAAAAAGATAAGGACAGACACCAGAAAGCCAAACAAAAACAAAATCTTGGAGAACGATAACCCTTTTGCTTCCTCCACATTTTCTCAACAACAAATACCACAGGCATCTTTCTCGTCATTAAAACAAAATCACAAGTACAAATCATCTGTGAACATTTTTAAAACGTAAGAGAAATACCGAGGGAGAAGAATGTACCTATCGGCAGATTCCTGAACTTCCTCCGCGGCTGAGAAAAACGGATCCTTTTCCCAGCGATCAAAACTCGAACCCATATTCCTTTCTACGAAAAGGGAAAGAAAGAAACCCTCACAAAAGATTAATGGTAAAACTGAAAGGAAAATGATACACAAAACGAAAATCTCTAGCCAATTTGGCACGGAGTAGAGAACTAGAAACAGTTTGGAGAAGAAAAATGCAGTAGAATCATGGAGAGGAGGAGGGCGCAAGGAGGAAACCAGTTGGGGTCGTTGAAAGAGACGAGAAGGAGTAGTGGCGCGTGGAATTAACAAAGGTGCAGAAGGCTGAAGGCGGGCGTCATTTTGGCCACACGATTCTCAACAAAGCGCGTCGCCGACGGAAATCAACACTTTCCCGCTTCTGAAACGCCGCGAAGGTAAAACAATTTTTTTTTTTCTTTTGATCCGACGACGTTTGTTACCTTACATACGATGTTCAATGGGCCTCTAAAAGCTCATTTTATAGCATATGGGCCTGTATAAGCCGTTACTGTAGATGAGCATATAAAGGCCCAATTTGTTGTAAATGGGCCTATAAAAGCCCATTTGTTGTAAATGGGCCTATGAAAGCCCATCTATTATAGATGTGCCTCTAAAAGCCCCCTTTATTATAGATGGGCCTCTTGCTGTGCATACATTTTGACAGAGTGCAAGATGGCAGCGCGGAGCGGCGACGCCGACAAACTCAAATCAGGCCTCTGATAGAATCCGGAGCCCACGTTTTTCGATATGACGCTTAGGGCCTTACCCCTCTTAGGAACGCGGCCAAGCATGGCCATCCCGAGGTTGTCAAAACCCTTCTGGAAACTGGTGCGCCATGGACTGTGCTCTCTCCTTCCACTCTCTCTGCTGGAGATTTTGCTCTGGACACTGGTCGCCAGGAGGTCTTCCAAATTCTTCCTGCTTTACTGCCGACTTGCTTGCTTACTCCGGCGGCTAATTAAAGTGACAATAAATCCAAGTAGGTATGAAACTTAATTCTACGAGGTGCGAAATGTCTTAAATGTCATAGCTGCGCTCGATAATTATATGAAGAATCTTGATCATGAATGCTATAATTCAGAAAAGCATCGACCTTATTAGTTGTTTTCTTGTCGGCATGGTTGATATCAGCAATTGGCTGGATTTGTGTCGTTATTCAAATAGTTAATAGTTTGTTCTCTAATCTCTGTAATTGTTGAATAAAAAATTGTTGTAGATCTCAAATGAGAGTGCATCCAATTTAGACAACCAAATTTGAAGTCACAAACAAGGGGTGCATCCAATTTTCAGTAGGATTTCCAAATGGGAATTCTTGATTGATGTTATGAACTTCGAAAAAGAAAGCAAATCCACTAGAATTCTGTACAATTATTTTCTTTCTTTCCATTTTTCCTTTCCCATGAATATGATATGGTTAAAAGGGTAGAGTTCGAATTCAACAAGCCCCCCTGCGAAGACATTGGCGGGGACAGGCAATACAGATTATGGTCTTATAAAGGAGAAGACAGGTTTCAATTCCATGGAAGATTCTTGCAGGTCTCAAGTCCAGGTGAAGGCAATGGGGCTACCCACATTGTGTTTCCCATCCGACCATTCCAGACGAGCAAAGCTCTCAGACCCCGACGGCATTGCAGAAGCAACGAATGTTACTGTGTAACTCTTCTGCTCATTGGGCTTCGCAAAACTCAATGATTCTGGTTCAACCATAATCTTCACCGACGGGCTTTTCGACGTTACA